ATACGAAATCCCGCAATCTAACATTTCCTAAAAAAATGTTTTTCATGGCTATGTCCTGGAGACATCATTTATATAAAGCAGAGACAAAGGTACTTGCACTGGCTGACTTTGTGAAGTCATATGAAGAAAAGAAGGAGGCTTATGGTATTCCCCAAGATTATGTTTAATGAAGTCACAACTTGTTGATGTTCAGCTCAGCCATTATTTGTTGAACGTCTACTACCTACTAAGCACCATGCTAGATATGGAAAATAGAGAAATAAGCAGATTACCCCTCCTGGATCTCCTAGAGCATGGGGAGGGCTGTAGTGATTGGGATGAGGAAAGACCGAGGAGGACAAAGCCTCTCCTGCAAAAGGAGACGCAGGTAAGTCCAAGCTCTCATTTCATTCTTGGACTCACACCAGAGCTTTCCACAATGTTGCCAAAGACTCTTTAGAATTTGTAAATCCAGGGGCGCCTGGGTGGCTCAGGCGGTTGTGTCTGGTTCTTGGTTTCTGCTCAGGTCATGATCTCACAGTTGGTAAATGTGAGCCTTGCATTGGGCTCTGATCTGACAGTGCAGATCCGGGGTTCTCTCTCTCTCTCCTCTCCTCTGTTTGCCCCTCCCCCCCTTGCTCTTAAAGAATTCCGTAAATTCAGTCATGTCAGTTTCATATTTAAATGCCCCAGCAGCTTCCTGCTGACTGCTTCCGCAGGCCACAGCCCGCTTTCAGACCCTCAAGCCCTCCCTTGGCCCCCAGCCACCCCACTGGGTTACAGCCTGACTGCCTAAATTCACATCTTGCCTCTGCTGCTGGTCAGCAGTCTCCAGCCCGGTTTCCCTAAACTGAGTTAATATCAGTAACCTGTGTCATATATAATGTGAAGATTAAACAATTTGATGTAAATCTCTGAGAACAGTGCCTTTATCTTATTTTTGTACTCCTCCCTCCTCAGAATCTAAATACAGTGCATATTTCAGACACTGAAACATTTGTTTATTGACTGAAGGGGAAATCCCTTTGTCTCCAAATCTGTCTTTGTGAAGTTCTTTTAGTCCCCATTCTTTCCTTTTTTTCTCTCCTGTGCTATTAACATGGTAACATTTTTAAAATGATGATCCCGTCTTCTCCCGGTTCTGTGTCCACATGGTCTCAACCCTGTTCAGCCATTGTAGCCCCATTCTGACTTTTATCAGCTTTTCTGTTGTTTCCCCTGCTTTCCCATCCCCCATGCCAGGTTATCTTTTTGTCCCATTCCCCTACTCCCAGCCTTGGAATTCCAGGCCACTTGGGGGCCCATTATAATCCATGGATTGGGGTTCAGCTGGGCTCCCAGAGCTTGCAGGTCTTTCTGCTCTTCTCTTGACTCTGTCTCCATTGTTAACCACTGATTTGCAGCCAGCCTCACTTAGAATGTTCTGTGCCCCCTCCTTATTACAGAGCCCCAGCTAGACTTCTTCAATCTCTGGAGATATTCTTTCTTTTTTTAATGTTTTATTTATTTCTGAGAGATAGAGAGACAGCATGAGCAGGAGAGGGGCAGAGAGAGAGGGAGATGGAGAATGTGAAACAGGCTCTAGGCTCTGAGCTAGCTGTCCCGCACGGATCCCTACGCGGGCTCGAACCCATGAACCCAGATGAGATCATGACCTGAGCCAAAGTCGGACGCTTAACTGACTGAGCCACCAGGCACCCCCCTGGAGATCTTCTTACTTGCCCAAGAAGATTGAGGGGGTCCCTCATCAGCCTGCTTCTAGCTTCTTCTGGCTCTATCTCAGTTTTGTTGTTGTCTTTGAGGTGAGGTCTTTATCTTCCTCTCTGACTTCTGACATGCCTACCTCTTGAGGCTAACCTCCTGAGATTGTGTTGATTAAACTGACTTTTTAAAGCCAGTTTCTTAAAATGAACTTGGGTTATTCTTTTTTGTTTTTGTGTTTGTTCATTGTGGATATGAGCAGCTTTGAAATAACCATCCTTGGACAACTGTATCGCTCACTTGTAAGAGTACAGGCAGTGCTCATTTTGCACGACTGTCTGGCATGCTCAATTTCACTCACCACAGTTTAAATGACACCAGTACCCCAACAGCACGGTGCAAATTTCAACTCCAAGATTTATTCACTGGGAGGAGTAGCATAGAGTACAATCTTTGCTGCTAGCTTTTTCAGTCCACACATCACTGTGTATATAACAGATGCATATGGTGGTCAGCAACCAGTGTCGCTTGTCTTAAAGTCTGTCAGGGGCGCCTAGGTGGCTTAGTCGGTTAAGCGTCCGACTTTCGCTTAGGTCATGATCTCACGGTTCATGGGTTCGAGCCCCGCATCGGGCTCTGTGCTGACTGCCAGCTCAGAGCCTGGAGCCTGTTTCAGTCTGTGACTCCCTCTCTCTCTGACCCTCCCCTGCTCACACTGTCTCTCTCTCCTAGAAAAAAGAAAAAAATTAAAAAAAATTTTAAAGTCTGTCAGTGATTGCTTGCTCTGTTGCTCAGTACACACCATTTTATAAAAATTGATAATGGAAAGAGAATTGGCTGATAAAGGTGAAAGTTGAGTGAAGCGATAATGGCAGAAGTGAAATCCAGTTCAAATGTAAATGGGGTTATGGAAGGCAAAGCAAAGTGTGGGAATGTTAGCACCGCCTCTGTTCAGCAGACTAGCTCTGCAGCCCCAGCTCAGTGATGGCGAGTTTATCCACCGAGCGAGGAGTGCAGATGTGATGCAAAGGAGATACTAAAAGTGTGAAGGTTCCCACATGGGGAACTGATCTATGCTTAGGAAGGAATGTGATGTGGCAGTTTGTTAAGGCACAGAAAAGTTTCTCCCTAGGGATTGTAAGTTATAGGAGGAGAAGAAGATAAAGCACTGTTCAGACTATTCTTGCTAAGTTTATTACTAAGAAAACTTTAATCCTCCATGTTTTAAAGTACAGTATAGTAAATACAGATTTAGAATTTTTTTGTTTCCTTGTATGTTTATAATTGACCGTAAGAGTTTTTAATGTTTTTGGTAGAAACTTAAAAATTACCTCTTATGGGGTGCCTGGGTAGCTCAGTTGGTTAAGGAACTGACTCTTGATCTTGGCTCAGGTGATGATCTCACACACAGTTCCTGAGTTTGAGCCCCATGTCTGCCTCTGTACTGACAGTGCGGGCCTGCTTGGGATTCTCTCTCTCTCTCTCTCTCTCTCTCTCTCTCTCTCTGCCCACCTCCCCCTACTTGTTCTCTTGCTCTCTATAAATAAGCATTAATTTTTTAAAAAATTACCTTTCATAACCTTTCATATGTTTGTGTTAGTTTATACCTCAGTAGGTTTAGGAGCATCCCTTAGTGTTCTGGTACTTTGTTCCGTTTGCCATTATTTACATATTTGTTACATTATTTACATATTTGTTGGAGCTCTTCTTCTGATGACTTCCTATTTGAATGGACATACATACACTTAAGGCTTTTTTATGTCCTTAAAAAATGGCTTCACCTAGACCAGTTGTGTTTGAGACCCACTATACTCTTGCTTTTCCTTCCCTTGCCCCATTTTCTTCTGAAATGAGTTAGACCTGCTGATTCAGATTACTTACTATTTACTTTCTCTTCAGTTTTTACAGTCACTTGACATTAGGCACCTCGAGGACAAAGGTCATGTCTGTTTTGGTACTGAGTATCCAGTACCTAAACCTGGCAACTGGTATATATGGCCAGTACTTGATATGTTTTATTTGAGGGAGTCAGTTCCTAAAAGCCTGCACCCAACATCCACCCTGTCCCATTCACCATTTCTCTGGTCTCTGTTACCTCTTTATCTTGGCCTTTGGGGAACATATTTTCCTACTGCATCCATTCCCTTTGCATATTCTTTGTTCTAGCCAAAGTAGGCTGCTCATAATTCATCACCTGCCTTCTCTTTCTTCCTTCGGGCCTTTCCTGTGCTGGCCTTCCCCCTGCAAGTTTTCTCTAGCTGGCAATATCCTACCATCATTTCTCCCTTGCACAGCTGTGCCCTACGGCTTTCCCCGTGAAGCCTTCTCTCCTCTCCTTCTCCCCAGCCACCTTAGCCTTTCTCCTTCTTTAAACAACCGTGTACCTGCAGGCGCCTCCTGGAGCCTGCCAAATATGAGCCATTTATGCTGTTATTTTTACTTTTTCCCACACAAATAGCAGCTCCCTGAGGTATCTCTTTCCTGTGCATAACATAGTCATTACACATAGTTGGCACTGAATGTGTAGTTTCTTGGATTTTCCTGCAAAGTGAGATTCCAGAGAGCTGTCAAGGAAACTCCATCCCACTAACAAAATTGAGGGTTGTTCTACAGATCTACAGATTATTTTGCTCTTTTTTCCCCCCTAATTCTCAAACAAATTTTAAACTATCGAAGGTCACAAGAGTGGGGAGTGAGAAAGTGGGAAAATGTAAGAGCTGGAAAGCTTTTTAGAGATCCACATAGGCTCGCCCTTTAATTTTATAGGTGAATAATCTGATGCCCAGAACACTTACATGACCTTTTTCAAATCACACAACCAGTTTGTGGTGACATTTGGGCCACAGTGCAGTTGCCCAACCCTGTCCAGTGCCGGTTCCCATGGGCTGCCATGGGGCACGCGAGGATATTGTTTAGGTGTGTGTAGTTAACCTGCTCAGAGAAGCAGCTAATATTCTCATGTTGCCTTTTATGGATTAACAAGTAGGAAATTGAATCCCTAAATTGATTTTCCTCTCTCGGTCCCTTAATTATTTCAAGTTCTCTGACTGGATTCATTTGCATTCACTGGGAAATTTCTGTAAACATTCATCTTGGATGGCACAGATTTCTTTGCTGACATGTAAGCAAACTTTTTCTTGAAGTAGGATATACATCCAGAAAAGCACACGAAGCGTGGGCATGTGCTTTTTTCATAAAGCGCACACAGCCACGTGACCTGCACCCACATCAGAAGACAGAGCGGCACCAGCATGCTTAGAAACATTTGAAGAAATAGAAGAGTTTTGAAGCTATATAATCTTCTTTTTTTCTCCCCACAGGTATTGTCAGTCTGTGTGTTAACAACCATCCTTGGCTGTATATTTGGGTTGAAACCAAGCTGTGCCAAAGAAGGTAATTACTACACTACTTAGTGTGCCTGTGTACACACATGGGTGTGTGTTGCCATTTAGCCTTCTTCACAATGTGATTGAGAAAAGCGCCATGTTCTAATCTGTGGGTACTCCTGAGTTACTGCAAATTTGATACTGGTTTGAGTCTTCTGAAAGCTCTTTGATTATTTTAGGCATATATTTATTTAGTTGTAAAACTTCATCCTAAAACAATGAAGAGGGGCTATGACCAGAAAATCAAACAAAGAGCAAACCCTAAACCAACAAAAAGTAAATGAAGAGCAGTGGAACAAGCCAGGATGACTATGTTCCGGCGTTGTACCCTGGAGCCTCTCCCTGACTTTCTCCAGGGTCCCCCAGGACACTCCCCCCCACCCCCCCCCCCAAGGAGTTGCTGAAGCAGCCTGGAAAGTTTACTTGGTAACCTGTTAGCATCGCTGGGCAACTGGAAATCTATCGTTACGTGCTCCTATGGCTTTTAAAATTCTGGGTCTTGGTGTTTCAAAGCCATAGTGAAAGCTTCTACATGTTTTTTCTTTATATTGAGTGCAGAAATTTATCCAGCATTGATGAGGTTACTATAAATAATAAAACTGAATTATTTTGGATTTCAGGTAGGTTTCACCCCCGCCTTGTGAAATCACTGATGGTCTTCCTAGGGAATTCAGTTTTGAAAAATAAAAATTATTTTCCTGTTCAACTCTTCTGTAATTATAATATTGGTCATTTAAAAATTTTTGCTGACTTTTAATTTTTCACTTATTGCTTAAATTAATTAAATGTAGTAATTTCATGTTTTGGGTCAGCAGTCTCTACAGAGCAAAACTGTCTAACAAAAATTAAGTAGCTACAGCCTTTAATGTTCATCTAGGCATACGCATGAAGTAGTTCACTTTGAGTTAGTTTAACACATAAAAATAAAACTGAAGGATTAAAAAAACCAATTTTAATCTAAACTTAACATAGTATACCTAGTATTTTTAAAAATTACTAGGTACTTTTAATGAACTTCAAGTAGTTCCTCTGCCCAGGTCAGGGATGTTAGTTTTTCTGACCTTAGAAATTACTGTGTCACTTCATATCTTTAAAATTGCCAAATTTCCCAGTCTCATGAGAGTTAAGTTCCATGGCAGTGTCTTCTTGGGTCAGGAGACCACTAAAGTAAGGAGCTAGGATTATTCATTATTTTACAAGTGGGGTTTTCACCGTCACCATCCTGATGTTTTAGTAATCTAATGAAAACCTAGCCTTTTCCAGGTGTGCAGTAAACACATAAAATTATCGTATTTAATTAAAATTTTCCTCCCATGTCTACCATTTATCCATTTTATAAAAACTTCCTGGCAGCAACTATAGTCAAGCATCTTGCTGGCTGCCAGGTATACAGTATGCTGGGCAAAATGCATGTGTGGTTGTTCTCAAGAAGTGGGTGGTCTACAGGTACCTCATTGGCTCAGTTGGTTAAGCCTCTAACTCTTGATTTCAGCTCGAATAATAATCTCATTGTGAAATTGAGTCCTGAGTTGGGATTCTTTCTCTCTCACTCTCTCTCACTCTCTCTCTCTCTCTCTTCTCTCTCTCTCTTTCTCTCCCCCTCCCTATTTGCACTCACTCTCTCTAAATGAATGGAAGTTGTTAGTTATGTGTGAGACTGGGATATTAACCAAATACTCTAGTTCAAATGGAATTAAGTGACTGAGGGGAAGGAAAAAAAGGAAATCGGACCTTGACTGGAGAATGTAGGAACCAGGTTGCATCTGAAGGTGAAAGGGGTATTTTAGGTCATGGTGAGAGGGACAGTCCTGCAGAATGGTCCTGCTTCTTTTAAAAAAATAAAAATGTTTTTGAGAGAGAGCAAGAGAGCAAGCAGGGGAGGGACTGAGAGAGAGGGAGATACAGAATCTGAAGAAGGCTCCAGGCTCTGAGCTGTCAGCATGGAGCCCCATACAGGGCTCGAACTCAAACTGTGAGATCATGAACTGAGCAAAGTCAGATGCTTAACCGACTGAACCACCCAGGTGCCCCCATTCTTCTTTTATACACCAAGAGTGAGACTGGTGAGTCGGATATTCTTTCTCCTTCGGAAATATTCAGATAATTACTTTTAATCTTTTCTCACAGTTCGAAATTGTACAGAACGTTACGTAAGCATAAGATGTTCAGAAGAAGTCCTCATTCGGAGCAATGCCTGGCTGGCTTAGTTGGTTAAGCACCTGACTTGATTTCTACTCAGGTCAAGATCTCACAGTTCATGAGTTTGAGGCTGGCATCGGACTCTGTGCTGCCGGTGTGGAGCCTGCTTGGGATTCTCTCTCTGCCCCTCCCTGCTCTCTCTCTCTCTCAAGATAAATATTTTTTTTTTCCCCAAGGTAAATATACTTAAAAAAAGAAAAAGTCCTTATTTTGACTTTTCTTTACCATGCTATAAGTATTGAAGACTTAGTAGACCCAGTAGGGTTTGTCATAAATTTGAAAAGTTCTTTTTTTCCTATGGTTAGAGATAGAATCTTCTATTTGCCACTTTATAGGTGTATTTATGAAGATTCTTGGATAACTTCATTGCCCCATCTGTATTTTCCAACTAGGATTTAAATCTAACTTAGATGTAATAGTTGATGTTTGCTACATGATTCTGTGATTAGAAACATCTAACTCATCAGTCAATATTTTCAGTTAAAAGTTGCAAAGGTCGCTGTTTTGAGAGAACATTTGGAAACTGCCGCTGTGATGTTGCTTGCGTTGACCTTGGAAACTGCTGTCTGGATTACCAGGAGACATGTATAGAACCAGGTAAATGAAAATACTCAGGGGAAGAGATGATATAGGCATTAGTAAAAGAGAAAAAAAGTTCTGCATCTTTTAGAAATGTGATTTATCTCATTCACTTGAGATTTTTAAAAAATTGGCCTTTACATTTCCTTAGAGAAAAAATTACACATATTTTGCCTCTGTTAACACTTTATGGAGAGCAAAATTGTGGCCATTTTTAATGTATGCCGAGAGCCTGTATAATATAATTTGCACTTAAACTTCAAAAAGGCTTCTTGAAATTTTCAGTGTGGGTGGGCTCATTAAAACAAGAATTCTTAGACATACATTTCTTTTTATTGAAGTATGGTTGACATGGAATGTTAAATTAGTTTCAGGTGCACTAGTGATCTACTTAGACTTTAAAATAAACCCATCAGAATATGTAAATGTTCCATTTGATTTGGATTTCTCTACATAGGACATGGATATTTACTATTTAAATGGGAGTAAGCAAGATTCAGATTAAAATTTGAGAACCCTGAAAATGGCTGGTAGAGAAAACCAAGATCTATATATGAATTGTATAACAATCATGTTTGTCCATGTTTTCAAGTGATAGAATTCTGTTTTTTTTTTTTTTTTTTTAAGTGAAATAATAACAGTTGTTGCTTGCATGCTTTCTGTCTGTTAGTTCAGGTTGACCGCTGTGGTGACAGATTCTGTGAGTAACTATGACTTATGAAATAGTTCATTGTCTCAGAAGAGAACAGTTCTGTGTCTACTTCAGAGGTGTTACATTGGGACCGTAACACGTCTTTGTTATTTGTTTCTAGAACATATATGGACTTGCAGCAAGTTCAGGTGTGGTGAGAAAAGATTGCCCAGAAGCCTTTGCTCCTGTTCAGATGACTGCAGAGAAAAGGGTGACTGCTGTGTCAACTACGGCTCTGTGTGCCGAGGTCAGGTCCCTTGCACTCCTATCAGGCTCTGCAGCAGCCCAACATCCTCCTAGGTGTTAACTGGGTTTTGTGCTTTTAACATTTTTTTTTATCATTAGGATTCACATCTGTTGACCAACTATGTTAACTGAAAAAATATTTTGAAAAAATACTTTATTAGAGTTCAATTCAAAGAAAGAAAGTTATGTGATGAATCTTGTACCCATCAATCCATTTAAAAATCACTATCTACGCAGGGCAAATCTTGTTCTATCTATAGTCGCTCACTCGCCTGCTACCATCCCTTCATGTTATGTTGATATTAGCTACATATTTAATGCCGCCTTGTGGAAAGATCACTTTTGCAGTCCTGGCCATCTTTATGTTCCAGGTCCCTCGTAGTAAATGAGGGCAATGGCTGCCATGTGTTGAAAGACTGGATGTGAAATTACTGCCCAAGGTTCTAGGGTATTATGTAAACTGGTGCTATTGTGAGATTGCATCCAACCGTCCCAGGGTTCTTTGAAACTGATAAGAGAGGAACTAAGACATCAAGAATTTTATACTAGAAGTTGCTAGGTGGATAAATGGAGGGTTGTAAATGTTGGTTGAAAATAGGAACAACTTGAAAATGGAAAAGATGCCTTTTAAGTTCTCACAAATACAGTAATATGTTTGAGTCTTGCATGTAGTCTTACTTTCATTTTTTTCTTCATTCATTTATTTCTTCCCGGTATCAGCTATTATTTTGAAACATAATAACTTAATGTATTTATAGTTCCCTAATATGAGTCATGACCCATATTACCTATATGTGTGTTAACATATTTTGTTTTGGAATCTGTCCTAAGATGTCTCACAGCATCACGGTTACTGCCACTGTTCAATATGTTCACCTTGTTTTATTTCTTGAAAATATTTTAGGAGAGAAAAGTTGGGTGGAAGAAACCTGTGAGGACATTAATGAGCCAAAGTGTCCAGCAGGGTAAGATTATATTCTGAGATACTATTTCTTTTAAGGTACTATTTTTTTTTTTTTATCTTTCCAAGTTGAAAAGATAAAAAAAAAAAATCGATATTTTTTTTAGTCAGGCCTTGTGGTGGACATTTGTGGTATAGAGTCAATTATGGAATGATCCCCACTCTGGAAGTTAATGGAAAAAAGAGAGGTCACAACTATTCAGTCTTTAGTACTCAAGAGAGTTAGTGGAAGTGTTTTATCTTTCTCCTTAGGAAGAAAGGCCCTGTACTTTCATTTGTAGTATTGAAAGTTAAACCTGTAACAAGTTACTTTACAGCTTCCTTTTTATTTTTTATATTTTCATCTACTTACAAATTAGGGGGATAAGCAACATGTTTGTGAGAGAATGTTGCATCATTTTTATAATATTTGGGTTTTTTTGTCTTTAAAGTATTTTACACAGTACATTGTGTATACTAGGCCATCAAAAAATCTTGTGTGGAATTGAAAGGGGGAAATTTTGTGAAGATGTAACACATTTATCTTTGTTCCACTTGAGATCTACTGCTTTATAATTTGACTTACTCATCTTCAGAAACATATTTTTACCTTCTTATAGTAATGATTTTTTCCCAAACTATTAAAAATTTTAAAGCTGTACTTTAGCTTATTTTGTTTGTATATATAATTTATTTTTGCTTTATGTGTATTTTTCAAGATGAGAGAGTACATTTTTTGTTTAAAACAACAGTAATAGCAGCAGCAAAAACTAAACTCAAAAAAGCAAAAAATTCTAACAGAAGAGACTTCTTCAAAGGGAAGTCTCCTGTACCTTGAGCTGTCTTAAGTTCAAAGTATCTTGGAAAATTCAGACTTAGTGATTTTTGAATCTATCTTTTCCTTCTACATATTGATTATTATATTTCAGTTGTAATGTTGATCCTTTTAGTGGAAATGTAACTATTCTTTAGAATAAGATCATAATTTCGAACATGTTATACTGGAAATTGTTATCCAGTTTATTTTGCTAATGGTGCAATAAACTTTATGTTGTATATTGATTGAAAACAAATACTACACCATGATGGACCACTGAGACCCTAGGCAGTTGATTCTGGAATCTTCCAACTGAGCTATGGTACAAGTACTAGTTAGTGGAAGTCACATGCGAATTTTTATTTTCTTCCTTTTGTGTTTGCGTGCGAGGGTAAGCTAGGAGGAGGTAGAATTGAAAACGGCAAGGAGAGTTAAGCATTTGCTCTCAAATTTTAAATTACTGAGTAAAACTTTAAGTGGAAAGTTTTTTCACAGTTATCCTAAAGTGTTCAACTCCCTACTGTCTACCAGATACAATTAGAAGTTCAAAATTTCTGAACCATGCCCATTCTGGTTTGGCCATGTAACTCTTTACCATAGTTATTCACTTTGAGCACCTCAGTGTTCTGTGGGCTTTTCTTTGTTTTTTTGTTTGTTTGTTTTTGCCTCCTTTGGATTTGCACACCACACTGTGTGTGTGCGCGCGCGCGCGTGTGTGCGCGTGTGTTCGTACACACATGTGCCCTCATTGTTCATTTTTAGCTTTGGATCACTTTGTTTTGTTTAAATGTAGTGAATACATGTCAGACTCTTCTACTAAATAGTAATATATTTCAAATATAGTAAATTTCAAAATCAAATATTATATATAATGTTTGTGATATGAGGTACCATCTATTAGATACATGTAGAGACGGTATCCAAAAGTGGTTGTTCAGGAAAAAGCTCAATGGTAATAGAAACATAACTTAGAAAATGCTGTTTTACCATTTATTCTCCTGCAAATCGGGAAAATATTATTACATTTTTAGTAGCATTTGGTCCAGCTTTTGGAATAGCAGGAACCATGAATGGTTCTCCATATGGTGGTTCAAAATGCTACAAATACTTGATAAATACTATTAGATGATATAGGTAGATATATGTATATATGATATATAGTGAAATGTCAAATATATATATGAATATAAATGTAAAGTCTCCTTTATGAGGATGCTTGTTGAGCTTGTTAGCTTAATTTAGATTATATACTGACCTCAGTGAAAAATTTTCATGTTCTTCAATGGATGTGTATCTTCCTTCTGCTTCGTTAAACATTGGTTTTTTTTTTCCCCCCTTTCTTTCTCATTACCCAGGTTTGAAATGCCTCCTACCCTCTTATTTTCTTTGGACGGCTTCAGGGCAGAATATTTACACACTTGGGGCGGCCTTCTTCCTGTTATTAGCCGACTAAGTGAGTAACTTTAGAGTTCACTGTCACTTTCAGTGAAACAGACTAGGGAGACAGTCTTTTTTTGGAAAAATACTGGCAGAATGTGTTTTACCAAACCTCTTTGGTGAAGTAGTTGAAGCTGATAAGAAACTGGTTTCCAATATTGTAATTTCTTTGAAGTTGCCTTTTAGATACTTTTAAGATATTACAGGTATATGTATATACACACATACATATACACACATGCATAATATGTAGATGCACAGTTACATATAAATATATACATACACACATTAACTTGTATGTGTTTTTTCTTAGAATTTTGGATTACTTTTGTGGAAAATCATTTTATATCTTCAAATAGAATTTTAAAAACTGAAGATATTTCTGATATGAATTTAGTAGTGCTGACATGGAATATTTGCTAGCTATCTTATAGTACCATGTAGCATTCTTCAAAGAAATTGATTCACACAAGTGCTTAACTGAGTGGTTATTCTGTAAGTTATTGATGCAATAGTAGAATAGTCTTTTTAATAGTTCAGTAATTCCAGTGGAACGCTAAACTGAAATGGAAGTATAAATACAACTATTTTAGAGTTCTGAATTCTAAAATACTATTTCTTAGTCTTGAGTATATGAGATTAGTTTAAACCTTAAAATCGCTCTCGGTAAATACATGTCTACATTTACTATATACTTCTTTTATGAGAAACCAAAATAATTGGGAAATCTTTTTAAAATTTCAGATTTTTAAAAAATATTTGTTTATTTTGAGAGAGAGAAATAGAGTGAGCAGGGAAGGGGCCGAGTAAGAGGAAGACACACAATCCGAAGCAGGTTCCAGGCTTTGAGCTGTCAGCACAGAGCCCAATGCGGGGCTTGAACCCACGAACTGTGAGATCATGCCGAAGTCGGATGCTTCACCAACTAAGTCACCCAAGTTCCCAAAATTTCAGCTTTTAATTTCTATCTAGAAGAAAATAGTTTTTATAAATAATCATTTGACATGGAAAAAAAAAGTATTTAACCGAAAGCATGCAAGGGCAAGGAAGGCTCTATTCTGATCAGGCCCATGTGCTTTGAAGCTCGAATCTGGCCCTTAGTTACCATTAAGAGGAAAGTTTGTTTCAGTGGCACCAAATATATCCTGAGTTCAGAATTAAGGGGTTGTAGCTACATATATGTGAAGTGTAAAATAAATCAGTATACCATTTGCCTGAGCCCCAGCTTTGGATAATTGGAGAATATACTCTAATTCTGCACTGTTTGGATGGCATTGAGATAGAGAGACATGTGACAATCTGAGGAACATTTTTGGCAACGATGTATTGAAATGCTAGAATCATTAGGTTTATGTGTTTTTTTGTTTTTAGTAGTAGAGGCAGGAGAAAATGAGCATGACACCAGGGCTAAATCTGGAACAGTCTGACTTCTGTTCTATCTCTGACTTGAAGCCAGAAGATGCCTTTTCGTCTCACGAGCACTGTTGAGTGTCCGGAGTGAGCTGCTTCTGGATTTTCAGACTGGGACTTTGCCACCCCAGCTACTGCCTCACCCTTGTTTTAACTTTGCAGATTTTGCTACTCCTGTGATTTGTTTTTTTCCTTTATTATTATTTTTTAAAATTTAAATTCAAGTTAGTTAACATTCAGCATAGTCTTGGCTTCTGGAATAGAACCCAGAGATTCATAACTTACGTACAATGCCTAGTGCTCATGCTATCAAATGCCCTCCTTAATGCTCCTCACCCACTTAGCCCATCCTCCCCACCCAACACCCCTCCAGCAACCCTCAGTTTCTTCTCTGTATCTGAGTCTCTTATAGTTTGTCTCCCCTTCTGTGATTTGATCTTATTTTTCCCTTTCTTCCCCTATGCTCATCTGTTAAGTTTCTCAAATTCCACATATGAGTGAAATCGTATGATGCAGTTTGTTTTTAAATTCCCTCCATAATAAGTATGTGATCACCAAGTAACGTAATACAAAGATCTGGTAAGCATCATTATCACAAATTGTCCATCTGGAATTTAATGTTATTGATAAGTATGAGATAATTATTTCACAGGCTTAATTATTTATTTTGTTTGATATTTGTCTGAGGAAAATTAACATTGAATTTGAATATACAATGTTGCTTTATAATTAACCCTAAATTGTCATACGGTCATAAATCCTTTCTGGGTTAATTTATACTTACTTGGTACCAAAGCTAGATGAAGTAAACAGATTATCAATTGCATTTAGTAACAATCTTTAATTTTTTTCCTTTGTAGAAAACTGTGGAACGTATGCCAGAAACATGAGACCAGTATATCCAACAAAAACGTTTCCCAATCACTACAGCATTGTCACCGTAAGCTCCAAGTTTCAACTTCTTTATGTTCACAGAAGTGAGATGTAAATGTTACATTTTGTGAGGGAATAATTAGACATCAGATTGGAAAAATATGTAGTTAAGCAGGGAAACCTACGTTTTGGTCTTTGCCTCTGCCACCAACTAATTATAGTTGGGGGAAGGTCTCTTTCCTTCTGGTCTCAGGTTTTCCATTTGAAAAGAGATGACTAAAGACTCCAAGAAATGAGTTCTAGATTTTCTTTCAGCTTTAGGATTCTCCGATTTTTTGATGTCTTATTTCTTTTTACGGTTTTGTAACTTGCTTTGTTGGTACAGATCTGTCCTACACTCACAGGTTCTCAACTTGGGCCAGTCATCTTGATGGACGAGTTTAAGCAAGCCACTTTGCCTGACTCTAGGCTTACAGCCCTGTTTTTGTTTCAAGTTTGCCAATTTAATTGGAGTCAGGCGTTAGGGTTCAAGGGTTCATTAGGCATTAGGGTTCAAGCCAGAAAACCAATTTGTTAGCTTGCATTAATGCAAGCTCTTCTCAGACTCAACCAAAACAGTTTGTTGTACAGAAATGCTTTACTCAGCGATGCAAAGGGAAAATGGAGCACTTTTTTAGAAATTGAGAAGGCTGCCTATTAACATAGGCCCTTATGCATAGCATTCCTACTTACTTTCTCCTGCTACATAATTTAAAGCACAAATACTTTACAAACTCTTGAGTGGTTGGTTGTATTTTAATAATATCATAGCTTTGTCCTCTCTTCCCCTTAAACTCTGTTAAGTTCCTTATAGCTTCAGTTAAATGTTTGTCTTTGATTTTGGTTTGTGACTTTAACATTGGAAAAACTTAAACTTGCATAAAGAAAACCTGTTTTTATATTTTTTAGGGGCTTTATCCAGAATCCCATGGCATAATTGACAACAAAATCTATGATCCCAAGATAAACGCTTTCTTTGCACTTAAAAGTAAAGAGGTCTATAATCCTAAGTGGTACAAAGGAGAACCAGTGAGTTGTTTGTTTTAGCTACTAAGATAGTCTTGTTTTCAATTGTTCTCTGTTTCATTCAGAGTAAAATACCAAATTCTCTGGAGCTCTTAACCTACTTCATTTATTGTGTCTGTGGCCATCCTTTTGTAAATGGAGATAGATGCTGATAATCTTAAACTCTTGTATCATTGTGTAATGAGTAGTTTATGTCATAACTGGGTTTGGTAATTCTGAACCATTTTTCATTTCTGTTTGATTCCACCGTCTAGTAGTAGTCAGGGGGCAATATTTTGATTCATATAAAACCAATTATTTCTGAAAGAAATAAACTTTGACTTTATTTCTATTTGCTAACACAAATATTCTTTCTGGCCATGATAGATATGTTCTGTATTTTTCAGAATTTTCAAAAAAAGCTCCTGGGATCTCTTGATATTTCTCTTAGAAGAAAAAACATGATGTGTAATTTATAGGGTATAAATTCAAAATTTAGTGCTGATACTTAAAGCTATGTGACTTTGGGCAACTTACTGTTTTGCCCGTATTTAGAACTATAATTGGCAATAAGTGCTTAATAAATATTAGTTACATAACAAAAATGTCAGAAAATTAAACACATGTATATTTGGGAAAGTTTTTCTTCTTTCAAGGGGAACCGCATTAAGTAGGGTTGTGGCTCTGAAACTTGCAGCAGAGATTTCCAAAAATGGACTGTCTATATCTTTTAGGTTAACTTAAGCTCTAATTATTGCATTTTATTTTGCTGCTGTTCAGAGTCATATTAAGTGATTATTTTATAGTCTCACTGCTAGAGCTTGTTAACTTCCAAACATTCTAGCACTTGAGAAACACACTGATGTTACATGAACACATACTGTCCTAAGAGATGAATAGTTGTGTACTTTTCTGACTTGCCTTCATTTTCTTTCTCAGATTTGGATCACTGCTAAATCTCAAGGCCTGAAAAGCGCCTCATTTTTTTGGCCAGGATCAGATGTGGAAATTAATGGAATTCGCCCAGACATCTATAAAATGTATAATAGGTATGTATAGATGCACAGCCTTTTAATCTCAACTTCTCCTTTTTATCAAGTGCTAAGTTCTAACGTTTGCATGATAGGCTGAAAAATGAGGGTGGTCAGAATCAGAACTCTATCTCCGGTACCTTTTAGGTGGAAGATAAATGAGTTTTGAATGGATGGATGGAGGTTTTCTAGAAAGTGCTGGTTACATGTTAGAGTTTGCATTTAGGTCTTTGGGCAGGAATAAAAAAATGAGGCTGTGGTGACTGACTCCCAACTTTTTAAAAAGAGTCATAAATAAGTGAGTTCTCCATGAGGTACTGTTTCTGGAATGTACAGACACACGCGTTATTCGTGTGGTAGCAATTGCTGTTCTCAGATACAGGAATAATGTTATCAGGTAGGTGTAAGAAGCACATTTTTAAACCTAGCTGCTGCTTTCATTGGAATGCTTATGGGGGATACTATTTAGAACTGTAATTGCCAACAAATGCTTAATAAATGCCACTTATATAACAAAAATGTCAGCAAATTAGACATGTGTCTTCATTCTTTTCCCCAGATTAAAGCTTCCCCAGTATAAAGCTTAACTTTTGTCCCTTTATTGGGAAAACAAGTTTGTGTTTTCAAATAAAACTTTTACATTGTTTCAAACACAATTAACACATGTGATTGCTTTAGTCTTTCAGTGTGCTTTTCAATAAGAAAGACATTTTAAACTCAAGACAATTGTCACAGACTGTTTCATTTTGTTTATGTTTAATTTTAGTTCAATACCATTTGAAGAAAGGATTTTGGCTGTTCTTAAGTGGTTGCAGCTTCCTAAAGGTGAAAGGTATGTAGATTATTAATTTGTATGTTAACTTACTCCTTTGTTTTATAGAAATCACACTATTTAAAAATATTTAAAAATAAGTAGCAAGAAAACTTTGCAGTTGGCTCTGGCATTTTATATCCAAATGAACTCTTTAGGGAGCTCTTATAGCCGCCATTTTGAATAACTCCAATCCTGCAAATTATTTCTCAAATGTTAACCCCAGTGTTGTAGACTTTTTAATCACTATCGATTGTTAAATTATACTTTTCCATTCTATTTTACAATGTGTTTATAAAATATTACATTTTGATGCTGTTTGATTTAGACCACACTTTTACACTCTGTATTTAGAAGAACCAGATTCTTCAGGTCATTCATATGGACCAGTCAGCAGTGAGGTAAGTACCTTTTTATCAGTGATTATTTCATCAAACCTGGTGTAATCGGACGTAACTTTGCTTTGAAGCAGGTTTCTAGACCATTCTAGCAAGATTCCATGATTCTGGGAAGAATACTAAGCACAGTTTTACTAAAACAAAGGATGTACTCTATTAAAAATATCTGTTTTGTGTATACTTTTCCACAGCGCTAAATTGAACCAATCATAAATTCTGTATTCTCATTTCCAAAGCCTTTATCTATTCAATTTTTCCCTACATTGGCCCAAAAGGGTCTTTGGAAGTTTTATAAATGTGTAAGACTCCAATTTTCTTTTTTAAATCTTAATTTATTTCATTCTGTGTTAAACAAGAGTGTGGATAGCAAAGGTTCAGATAGCCAGGATTCCAGCCTGTACGTAAATTGGTTTCTTTTTGTTTTCTTCTTTTTTTTTTTTTTTTTTTTAAGATTTTTAATGTTTATTTTTTGTGACAGAGAGAGAGACAAAAAGCGAGCAGGGGAGGTGCATAGAGAGACACACAAAATCTTAAGCAGGATCCAGGCTCTAAGCTGTCACCACAGAGCTTGATGCAGGACTTGATTTCATGAGCTGTGAGATCATGCCCTGAGCCAAAGTCAGATGCTTAGCTGACTGAGCTAGCTGACAGCACAGAGCCTGATACGGGGCTCGAACCCATGAACCGTGAGATCCTGACCTGAGCTCAAGTCAGACGCTTAACCAGGCGCCCCCATGGTTTTATTGAACTAGGAAGCTAGAAATGGAGGAACAGCTCATGGACTAAGGCTGTCAACATAAGATCTTATTTGACCTGACACCCTTTTAGGAACTTAACCCACCCTGGTTTAGGTTTGTAATCAGTATAGTGCTTTGAAAGATCAAATACTGCTTTCAGTTTTGTGTGGCCGTAGAATTTTTGTATCTTAGAGTAGAGGAAGCATTGGAACAAAAAATGATTTTAGTTTCTTTCTTTGTACTTTTGAGCTAACTTCTTTTATGATGTATCTTTTATCTGTGATCCAAGATCAAGAAACAAGAAGTAAGGATCTATGAATATTTGTGGTCATGATGAAAGGAAGAAGAGGTTAGCCTGGGTCCCTAACCTCAGAATCCCCCATGTGACCCTAAGATAAAAGAATAGCTAGGATTTCACCTCAGTCTTCATAGTTGGTGAGTCTGGGTCTCTTTAGCGCAGAGTCAAGACCAGAGACTATTCCAAATGTCTGCTGTGTGCTCTGGTTTTCAGTGTTACTTGCTCTCAATGCTTACATCAGCAACAGCAGAAGGAAGGGAGAACATATGCCCATTTTCTTACTTGAATTTAAAACACCTGCCTAACCATCTTTTCCTGGTTTCCCTTACCCTGGGTTTGCTCCAGTTTTGCCCTTTTTAAAGAATGGGTGCCTCTCGGGTGCCATCTTTCTCAGATATAAGAGAGAAGAGAGAAAGGGAAGGCAACCATCCATTTAGGTCTCTATTTACTCTCTATGTTCTTTCCATCAAAATCCATCCTCAGGAGCTCTAATGTAGTTAGTAATTCCACATGCCCTTGCTCTGCTTTTGTCCTTCAACTAAGCAAAAATGTTCCTTAGAGGTGGGCTAAGGAAGACGCATGGCCAGCAATTGGTGACATGGAAGTTTTGTGTCAGTGTTATCTTGGTTTGATAACCAGATTGTTGTATAATTTTTATTTCACTAAATTCACTGACACGACTTGGGTCTAGGTCAATTGTCCTCTTAGTAAGTCTAAGGATCATTTTATAATTGATAATCAGTTCATATAAAAAGATCATGGAAAAAGTCAGTGCTGCTTTTTTAAATTTTTTTTTTTTTTTTTATGTTTTATTTATTTCTAGGAGAGAGAGAGAGACAGCGTGAACAGGGGAGGGTCACAGAGAGGGAGTCACAGACTGAAACAGGCTCCAGGCTCTGAGCTGGCAGTCAGCACAGAGCCCGACGCGGGGCTCGAACCCACGAACCGCGAGATCATGACCTAAGCGAAAGTCGGACGCTTAACCGACTAAGCCACCCAGGCGCCCCAGTGCTGCTTTTTACTAGTTTCACTGAAGATTTTCTGAAGGACTAGTTTTGTGATTCATCTTCATTCAAGATTGAGCCCATTACTTTTCATATCATAGTAACCAGCTTGCAAGCTCTGTAAAATTCACATATTCCTGGCAATCAAAACCCACTTTATTTTAATACTTAAAAACTCCAACTTTCATTACGTGGGTAGCTTTGAGTGAAGACCATATTGAAGGAGGTTGTTTCATTAATACAGTGGAATAAATTAACTCTAGAGATAAAGATTGATTGATACATTATAGAAAGCACATGTAAAGCTGCAAAGAATTTTCCTCAGGTGGTTTTGCAAAGAGAGCCAAAGAGAGAAATGTCAAAAGCAAGTTGGTAAAACCATTTGCTATTCTATGTATCCTTGTGATACACGTGTGCAAAATACATGCACACCTTTTTAAGGAATAATAGGTTGTATTCCTAGGAGTTGTAATTAAATTTTTTTTCAGTGTTTGTTTATTTTTGAGAGAGAGACACACTAAGCATGAGGGAGGGAGGGGCAGAGAAAGAGGGAGACCCAGAATTTGAAGCAGGCTCCAGGCTCAGAGCCAAATGCGGGGCTGGAATCTATGAACCTTGAGATCGTGACCTGAGCCAAAGTAAGAGGCTTAACCAACTAACTGGGCCACCCAGTCTCCCCCTAGGAGTTCTAATTTTAAAAATCAAACATAATTATAAGAAGCATTTGATGAATAATTTTTAACATTTTGGCAATTTAGACAATCAAATCAGCCAGTGACATATCCAGTACGTAGGATTGAGTATGTACGGAATTTGGAACCCTCTTTTTATTAATTGTCATTATCTTAACTGACGTGTCCCAGCCTAATGTAAATCAATTCATCATAGGAGTTGCACCCACTGAACTTTTCCTATAATAGAAATAGTTTTACATAGAAATAGCCATTAGGAAGGAATTCATCCCATGAAATTGGTGCCCTTTCTTAGGTCATCAGAGCATTGCAGAGGGTTGACAACATGGTTGGTATGCTGATGGATGGTCTAAAGACGCTGAACTTGCATCAATGCCTGAACCTCATCCTTGTTTCAGATCATGGTAACCTGAATTTTCATCATTTACCCTTCAGGTTAAATGGTGCCCCCCAAAAAAGGCTTCCTTGATTGGTTATTATTTCATCATTTCTTCTGATTGTTATAGTTACTTCCTTTTCTTAAAATGTAGTTTGTTGTGGAAAGTGTTTAGGAAAAAAAATATAGAATATAAAGTACAAATAAAGCACAGAATTCACATCTATCAACGAAAATGCAGCCATCTCCTGGTTTCAGCAAGGTTTATACGAGGAATTTTGAATAGTTAATTTTAGCACTTTGTTAATTTCATTTTTACTTATTTTGACCTTTAGAACATGTTTGTGTAACAGTACAGAAGCAGTGAGTGTACAAGAAAAAAGAAAAGTCCTTTTTGTTTTTTCTTGTTATTGTTTGTGTCAGAAATAATTACTAAAAGCTATTTCTAGAAATAGCTGTGAAAAGTTCTGTACCAAAGAAAGTGCAATTCTGGAATGAGACCGAGAATTTTATCCTACCAGTTAACATTCGAGGTGATCTTGGGAAAACAACTAGGCTTTGCTATTTAGTCCGAAGCTGTTTGATCCCTCCTCACTCACATAAAGATACTGTAATACCTAAATACGAAGAAACATGAAACTAATTGTGGATGAAGGGGGAAATATTTTTTGAATATTTTGATGTGGTAGATACAACTGAAATTCTGTGTCTTACCAACTAGATGTTTAACTCACATGAGCACCAACAACATATTTATTGAATTAAATTCTGGAAGTGAAAGAAATTCTCTTCTATGTGTTGTAACATGTTTGGGGACTTTTTCCTCTAGGCATGGAACAAGGCAATTGCAAGAAATTTGTGTATCTGAATAAATATTTGGGAGATGTTAAAAATATTAAAATTGTATATGGGCCTGCAGCCCGCTTGAGACCCACTGATGTCCCAGATAAGTACTTTTCATGTAAGTATACATGGACACTAACTTTGGATATGACTACATTCAGAATACATTCCTCTAAATTATTGTGTCTCCATATTAAAGTGCATCTAGTGAATTTCCTTTTCATGACTAAATGTCAAATGCATATCTTCTGCACCCAAAGGGATTTTATACAGGACCCAGGTCTAACCACTTATCGCTAAGCATATTTTGTGTGCGCTCAGTACATTTTTATGTTGTAGTATGTGTTTTACTGGTATTGGGTTTGAGATAACTTGTACAAGAAACAAAACAAAACAAAAACAAAACTTAGGAGAAAAAGTTCAGCTGCGTTTATTCAAGTTTAATTAGTGATATTACATTATAATAGCTTAGAGCTCTCATAAAATAATATTCTGTTACAAGGAGGAATTCAGGAAATTCCATAATTCTTCCAATTCTATAAACAGCTTGTTTCTGTCTTCAGAAATGACTTTCCTTTACCATTCCAGAACAGAATCAGAAAGTGTTTCGTAAACAGAGAGGAAATTTCAGTTCTGTCTTGACTAAATGTGCAATCCAAACTGCCAAGAAATCTTTTAAACTATTAGTTCTTTTCCAAGTCAAGTCCATTTCCTAACTGCACCTCTGTTACATACTGCTTTTTGATTGCTGTCCTTGGCAATTCTCATACCTAGAGCGAGTCTTGTTTATCTTTATGTTATAGTTAACCTTGAAACAGAAAGGGAAGAAAAGCTTTTCTGATATTTATCAGAAGTGGTTAGGTTTGGAAACTGCAGTGTAGAATATTCCAGTCGATACTATTGAATATACATGAGGAGAAATAGATTCACTCCAGGAGAATGGTTATGCAGATATTAATCTTTGTATTAACATAGTGACATAAACATAGACTTTATATATATGCATGGCAAGTTTTAATTAGTGGGTTTTTAAACTATAAAAGTAGTATACAACTGTTATAAAACCTGTTATAAAACCATACAGACTGAGGCAGTGCCCAGAGACTTTTGGAATGGCTAAACGTTGACCGCACCCTTCTCTTATTAGGCCTCTGTTACTAAAATTAAAGGAAAAATTATATGTATATTTACTTATAAATATACATACGTAAAATATATATGCAAAACATTTTCTTTTTTTCTGAAAATTTTTTGCAACTTTTGTGAAGTATGGCTAGAAGAATGTTTCCAAAGCTAGACATACATTGATTTGTAGCACAGAAGACAACTAAGCAATCTCTCAACCACAGGTGCTATGCAAATTCATATATGCAAATTTGCTATGCCAATTCAGTTACAAAACTCCTCTACTTGCCCTGTCTTGTAAGTTCCCCAGCATCCTTTTTATTTGGAAATTCTGGAATTATCAAATATCAAAATATGTAAAGTAACAATTTCCCTAAAGCGCCCTAATTCCCACCTCATATCCTTTGTCTAGAGATTAAATGCTGTTAGGCTTGGAATGTCTTCCCAAGTATCTGCTACCTTTTTTAAAACAAATTTTACACTAGGAAATCATACGAGACCTAGATGCATGGATATATAGATGGATGGCCAGATGAGTGGACACAACATATGGATGAACAGATGGATGGATAGATATTCTCTAACTTTTCATTTAACACTATGACATGATTTCAGAGGCATGGGGTGGTTCCTAATGATCTCATTATTGCCAATGACTAATTCAAATAAGCTGTTTGGAACCTGCTTTGATACTTAGATATAGAGCTTAAGTCTGACATTCAACATTTTCATTGAATTTTTGTTTTCAGTTGTAGCACACGATCAATGATTAATTCTTATCTTTGTCCCCCTTCAGTTGACTATGAAGACCTTGCCAGAAATCTTTCTGTGAGTGTATTCATTTTTCCCTTATTTAGTTATTGTTAGTTTTGTTTAATATATATTTATATAAAAAAGAACAGTATCTGTTCTTATGATTTTTTTCCATTAGATTTTTTGAGTATGTGGGCCAACATTAAGAGCCCTATAGTTTTAAAAGATTTTTAAGGATATATCCCAATAAACAAGCATTGAAAATTTTTAAGAATTCATTGTTGTACTGTTAGCATTATTATGTATTTCCTACCAGTTTTTATGCCCACTTAAAAATTAAATTTTTGGGGCGCCTGGGTTGCTCAGTCGGTTAAGTGTCCAACTTCCGCTCCGATCATGATCTCATGGTTTGTGGGTTTGAACCTCGCATGGGGCTCTGTGCTGAAAGCTTAGAGCCTGGAGCCTGCTTCGGATTCTGGGTCTCCCTCTCTATCTCCCTGCCTCTCTCCCGCTCATGGTCTGTCTCTCTCTGTCTCAAAATAAACATTAAAAAAAGGAGCACCTGAATGGCCCTGACTTCGGCTCAGCTCAGGTTATGATCTCCCAGTTCGTGGGTTTGAGCCCCACGTCGGGCTCTGTGCTGACAGCTCTGAGCCTGGAGAATGCTTCAGATTCTGTGCCTCCCTCTCTCTCTGACCCTCCCCTGCTCATGCTGTTTCTCTCTCAGAAATAAATAAAACATTAAGAAAAATAATAAATTTTTGTCTTGATGATTCATCTATAGTACGTTTTTTAACTTCTGTTTTATTTGTTTATTCATCTACTCATTAAAGTTCATTTATTTTGAGAGAGCACAGCAATGGAGGGGCAGAGAAGGGGAGACGGAATCCCAAGCAGGCTCTGCACAGTGTCTGCACAGAGCCTGACGTGGAGTCCAACTCATAAACTGTGAGATCATGACCTGAGCCGAAAATCAAGAGTTAGACCCTTAACTGACTATACCACCCAGGTGCCCCTATATTTTTAAATATTAAAGACAATTCTTACCATTGCAGTGATAAGAATGTTTGAAAATAGTAATAACTCAAATATAACTGAGTGACAAAGTCTTAAGAGTTTTGGGTTTTTTTATGTAGCAATTATTTCCTGTCAAAAAATAACTATTGAATAGTTGGGAATAGTCCTAATAATGTAATGTATATGTATAATGTATACATAATGTATAATAGTGTACATTATACAAATAGTAGGAAGTCAGTTATTTTTGTATCTGTGACTTACAGAGCAGGCTGGTATAATTTTCATCAGAAAAAAAAATCTTACAGAAAGTAAACCGTTTCAAGAGAAGTTTATGGAAATGAGTTTTTCTTTACCTTTTGTAATTCCAGTGCCGGGAACCAAACCAGCACTTCAAACCTTACCTGAAGCATTTCTTACCGAAGCGTTTGCACTTTGCCAAAAACGATAGGATTGAGCCCTTGACATTCTATTTGGATCCTCAGTGGCAACTTGCATTGTAAGTTCTGATAGTTTCCAGGCAAACCTAGCCTGATATGTTAGTTATTCTGTGTAACTTTTGGGCTCTTTTCAACAATGTTGTTACATGAAAACTGTGCGAATATGATTCTCTTCACTCTGTGTCCCGGGTCCTCAATCTGGGATTGACCTTTTGGGATCAAACCATTCTTTGCATTCTTTGTTGTGGAGGGCTGTCCTGTGCATTGTGGGAAAGCACCCCTGGCTTCTACCCTCTCGACAAAAAAGCACCCTTTCTAAACTTGGGCCAACCATCTGCAGACATTGCCAGAGATTCCCTGGGGAAAGCCATCCACCCCCAGCTGGGAACCACTCCTCTGCTCACGTTTATATTGATTATTTTTGTTTACATTAGTGTTACCACTTGCCATCATATATCTTCTGCACATTACAGTTATCCTAATAATACCTTCAGATCCAGTAAATAATTGGCAAAGCCCCTTTATGATGAGCAATGGCTTTCTTTATTTTACAGAGTTGGTATTTCATCTCAGTTTATTGATGTGTTGGAAAATTATTCGGATGGTTAATATTGTTAATATCTCAAAACTTGATGATTAACTCTTGGATGGTTGCTGAGAAGCCAGGGATAATAAATAACCCCTGTCAAGCGAAACCTAAGCAAAGACCCGGGATTCACTTAAGAGTTTCACTGTCCCTGCTTTTAATAGCTGTGTTTGGAAGGGATGGTCCTGGCCCTCATGGAAGAAACAATAACAAATATCTACTATATTCTAAAGGTTTCTTTAGGCTAAGCCATTTAATTTGTTGTTGTTTTTTTAAATTTTTTAAAAATGTGTTTTATTTCTGAGAGAGACAGCGTGAGCAGGGGAGGGTCAGAAGAGAGGGAGACAGAGAATCTGAGGCAGGCTCCAGGCTGTGAGCTAGCTGTCCTCACAGAGCCTGATGCAGGGCTGGAACTCACGAACCCTGAGATCATATCCTGAGCCTAAGTCAGACACTTAACTGACTGAGCCACCCAAACAACCCAATAGGACAAAACTGAAACAAAGATAACTACATTGCCAGTTTTACAGCTTGTAAATAGCATAGTCAGGGTTCAAAACTAGTTTTGTGTTAGTGCTAAGTGGTTTTCTCTTCTTCTATGCTATATTGCAGTTTCTAGTTGATTTGTCTGAAAAAGATAAGGGTGGCCCCTCAATGCTTTTCAAAGCCAGGTGGTTTTATTTACCAGTTTTGGTTTTTTTCTTTTTTAAATGTTTTTTTTTTTTTTTTTTAATGTTTTATTCACTTCTAGGAGAGACAGAGAGAGAGAGACAGCGTGAGCAGGGGAGGGTCAGAGAGAGAGGGAGTCACAGACTGAAACAGGCTCCAGGCTCCGAGCCGGCAGTCAGCACAGAGCCCGACGCGGGGCTCGAACCCACGAACCGTGAGATCATGACCCAAGCGAAAGTCGGACGCTTAACCGACTAAGCCACCCAGGCGCCCCTTAAATGTTTTTTATTTATTTCTAGGAGAGAGAGAGAGAGAGACAGCGACAGCGTGAGCAGGGGAGGGTCAGAGAGAGAGAGGGAGTCACAGATTGAAACAGGCTCCAGGCTCTGAGCTGGCAGTCAGCACAGAGCCCGACGCGGGGCTCGAACCCACGAACCGCGAGATCATGACCTAAGTGAAAGTCGGACGCTTAACCGACTAAGCCACCCAGGCGCCCCTGGTTTTGGTTTTTTTAAACAAAATAGTTAACTCCTTATTAACAGAAATACTGTCGTGATTTTAAATTTTGCACTATGAATAGACTCTACATCATTAATTCATATTATGTCAAAATTAGGAGTCCTTCAGAAGGGAAACATTGTGGAATTGGATTCCATGGTTCTGACAATATAATTTCAAATATGCAAGTAAGTAAATCTGTTATACTTAAAAAATAAGTTTGTATCTGAAGAAAAACTGATATACAAAGTTTAGATTTAGAGATACAGATTGTGATTCTGTCTTGGATGAGAATTAAGCATATGGTTTTATATCCCTCTTTTATTTTGGTCATTATATTAATTGAATTTGTTAAAATCTTATATTCATGTTTCAGGCACATATGACTTACTTATAAGACTTATACCTCATACTAAATTTCTGATAATTAGCTTGCTTATGTTTGTGTTCCGTTAAGAATATTGCTCCCCAGTAAATGAAAGCTGGTGATTTAATAGGAGAAAAGATAATCCTATTTCTTCTAAATGAAGATAATGCCTTACTTTCTTCTAGCAATTTAAAAGTTCAAAATACACTCGCAACAATTATTTAATTTGATCCCTACTGCACTGTGCAGGATGGGCAGAGTGACATTTATTTCCCATTTCACAGATGAGGAACAATTTCATCATCTATCTCTTCTGAGTGTCAAGGCAGGAATTACAGTAAAGCAGAGAGAAATATTCTCCATGTCCTTAGATTATGTGTGCAACAGAGGTTAACACAGTATCCTATGAAGTCTGTGGGCGCCATATTTTTCTGATATCTTAATAATAGCCATTTTATGTATGTTCACTGTTGATAATTATTTTCACCAGCTACATATTTAGCTGATATGAACTAATAAACGGTTACTTTTCTGGCCCATCTAGGCCCTCTTTATCGGCTATGGACCTGGATTCAAGCACAGCTTTGAAGTTGACTCTTTTGAAAATATTGAAGTCTATAACTTAATGTGTGGTAAGTGTGAACAGGCTTTCATTTCTTCTGAAAACGGAACTGGAATAGGATTCTGAAAAGGAAGTCACGCGGTGGGGACCTTTGTAGAGATGGTGATGAGGTGAGACAGATCTTCACATTTAAAATTTTCACCTTCCTGACCCAGAGTCCTTGGGAAAAAAAAATAGGTAGCTTATGCCATTTGATCACCGATGTTTCTTGCACTGGTATGCACACAGGTAAACTGCAACACCGAGAGTTATGGGGACTGTATATACCCAGTGTCTAGTACTTTGCCAGGCCTTCGGCTTAATTATTTGACAATTGGCTCAGTTTTGGGGTGGAGCCTGAGAAAGAGTTTGGAGTCTGTGAAGGGAACACGAAACAAGCAGATGCTCTGGCATCAATCATAGTGGATGATGATGTCACAGTTGTAGAGATGGAGGAAGACCCATTAGATACATTATTGATTTACTTTGTACTTTCTTAGTTAATACCTTTATGGTTGGATATTATATTTTAAATATTACTTCTTTAATGACACTAGGCATTTGCAAAACCTGAAATATGTCCTAAGTTTTACTTTCAGTGAGAGTCTATATACTTAGATGAATTAATATATCTTAAAGCTCTTAAGATAGTGCCAGGCATATCCTAAGTGCTTTACTATATAAGTGTTTGCTATTGTTATTATCAAGAGCATGAGGTTTAGACTCAGACAAAGCTGGTTTTGAATCCTAGGTCTTCCACATTTGTAGCTTTGAGCCCTTGAGCAAAGTACTGTGATTATTCATCTACCAAATATTGACAAAAACTTGCTAAATTATTCTGAGGATTAATTAAGAAAAATATATTAGCACAGTGATTGACATAAGTATGTAATTGGGGTAACTATAGTTATTATACACTTTAGACTTCAGAAGTTTCCATAGAGAAGTACAGCATATATATTAGTAATTCCATTAGAAGAGTGTAGTCATAAACTCTCTCAAATTCAAGAGAGTTTTATAGTTTTATTTTGGGTAGAGAGTAAAGAACTCTTATATGCATTTAGCTTTTAAAAAATAAAATAGTATAAGTCTACCATTTATTTGGTTTTGAAACCTCTAAGTAACCATTTACCATTTTTGGCATTTATGCAGATTTATTGAATTTGATACCTGCCCCTAATAATGGAACTCATGGAAGTGTTAACCACTTTCTAAAGAATCCTGTCTACACTCCAAAGAATCCCAAAGAAGCCCAGTCCTTGGTACAGTGCCCCTTCACAAGAACGTCCAGATATAACCTTGACTGCTCATGTGATCCCTCAGTAAGTATCAACAAAAGCCTAGCCTACTTTGTGTGATTTTTACAGCACCCTCTGCATAGCATGTAGTATAGAAACACTTCATCAAATTTCAAATGTATCAGTGAGCATAATATATATTTATGTTTAATTCTAATGTAACACATGCAGCCCTTTTATTATTTATTTTTCCTCTTCCGGGTTTTTTCATTTTCACAATTAAAAAAAAATTTTAATGTTTTATTCTGAGAGAGAGACAGAGACAGCGTGAACAGGGGAGGGTCAGAGAGGGAGATACAGAATCAAATGATTTTTAAAAAAAATTTTTAAATGTTTATTTATGTTTGAGACAGACAGAGCAGGGCAGGAGCAGTGAAGGAGACAGAATCTGAAGCAGGCTCCAGGCTCTGACCTGTCAGCACAGGGGCTTGAACCCACAAGTTGTGAGATCATGACCTGAGCAGAAGTTGGTCACTTAGTCTGAGGTACCCAGGTGCCCCCGGGTTTTTTGTTTGTTTGGTTTTTTTTTTTTTTAAATGTATTTAGTTTTGAGAGATATAAAGTGCAAGTTGGGAATGGGTAGAAAGCAAAGCACAAAGCAGACAGTGTGAAGCAGGCTCTACACAGTCAATGCAGAGGCTGTCACAGGGCTCGAACCCATGGACAAGGAGATGGTAACCTAAGAAGTTCACCCAGGTGGCCCTCAACTTATGTTTTTATCCCTAAGAGCTGTGACTTGACTTGGGTGCAGGTCGGGAGAAGTGCAGCTAAGTTCTGCAGCATCCTGAATCGTGGAATCTGTGCTGTTAACCTAGCAGTGAGGTCTTAATTATAAACCAACCACAGTATTCTTTTCCTAAAATATATCTCAGTTTATTTTAAAGTATTTTTTTATGCTTATTTATTTGTTTTCAAAAAGAGAGAGATTTTAAATTTAGAGGCAAAATAACATTTCTCTGGTATGAAATGGATAAATGGCATTTTTTTTTAAGTTTATTTATTTTGATAGAGCCAGAAACAGCACAGACAGGGCGGGAGCAGAGAGAGAGAGAGAGAGGATCCCAAGCAGGCGCAAAGCTGTCAAGGCAGAGCCTGATGCAGGGCTTGTTCCCATGAACCATGAGATTATGACCGGAGCAGAATCCAAGAGTCTAAGACACTTAACGGACTGAACCAACCCGGCCCTCCAGCACTGTTACCTTTTTACTCCTATCTTAACATACAGTTTTAAGAAAAAAGTGTGACAAGTGAACAAAATTGGTAGTGTCCATGAAGATGGTGGTTTGGGGAGCAGTTGATTTTATGCCTTCCATTTTGTTTTAGGCTCCTAGAACGACTGTCAGAGTAGTGATAAAAAGTATAAAGCAGCAATTCTATTTTTCACGGATATTGTTGTGCTTATGTAAGAATTTTGTCTTTTTGCAGCCATCATTTGACCTTTTATCCTCAAAAAAATAACTTTTCCCTTGTACAAGATGTTTTATCATTGTCCCACGATGAAACAATTAGGCTGTAGAAATTGTTAACAAAATTAAAACACGTCTCAAGACAGAAAAACAATCTCTCATTGCTTAAAATAGTATTATTAACTCTTTAGGTTTTGCCAGTTGTGGACTTTGAGATACAGTTGAATTTGACCATGGCCGAAGGTAAGGCATCCTTACTCTTGAGCTTGAAATGTGGAAACAGGCTTTTTCTCAACAGTGTCTACCACTGGGAACGGGTCTGGGAACATAGCTGAGAATAACCAGTAACGTAAAGGTAGTAGTGGAGGAGCACCTTGTGACCCATGGGAGGTCCTGCTCCACAGTCTAGCCTGCGAGTCATAAGGAAAGAAGGGATAATTACAGCACATCATGTGTTTACTGGAAGCTGAGTAATTATGATCAGAGTTGAGGTGGTTTGAGATTTCGAAGATTTTTAGAAGTTTAGAGGAGACCCTCTATTGAAAATACCTGGTTCTTATTTAATTACAGGAGAGTATGAGTTGATTCATTTATCTAAAGTTATTTCATCATAACTTTTGTTTTTTGAGAGAGTGCAAGCCAGGTGGGGCAGAGGGAGAGAGACAGAGAATCAGAGAATCTTCATGCTGGCATGGCCACAGTGTTAGATCACATGACCCTAAGATCATGACCTGCACCAAAATCAGTCAGACACTTAACTGACTGAGCCAACCAGGTGCTCCGCTTCATAACTTCTGAATGAAAATTAAGCAGGTTTCCTACACAGACAATTGAGATCATTTGTCAGCTGAGACTTGGGATGTTCAGTGTGACTTTGATATAGTCTCTGATCCTTCAGTTACTTGGCTCAGTTTTTTCCTTGGAATAAAAGGTGAACCCTATGTTAGAATTTGCCTATGTAACAATCTCTGTATGTGTTTAGAGAAATCTTTGATGGTCCATGGTGACAAAGCATTGTGGTGAAGAATGACACTTTTGGAGTTGAGTCGATCCATGTTTGAGTATGAGCTTAGGAATTGTATGTCCATGGCAAAAGTATGTACTCCCTGTAAACTGCTGTTTTCTTATCTGTCCAATGCGCATATAACCTTAATTCATAGAGCTATTTAAGGATTAAATTAGATGATATCTATCAAGGACTCTACAAAGCACTTGGCATTTGGATAAAGTGCAGTAAGTGGTATTTACAATTACTGTTTCATTCAGCTTCGTCTCATAATTTCAGTTCAGAATCTTTGCTTTCCAGGCACATACAGCATCCCACAACTTTTTTTTCCTGGAGATTATTCCCTAAAGAATAAATCATTAAAAGAAAGAATTTTGGTAATGTTAATGAAGACCTAATTGCCAACATTTCTACCAATTTCATAGTGTCCCCTTGTGATATCTTTATTACATTGACCTGTCAGAATCTTCACAGGCAAACTGCAGTGAATCCCCTTTTTTCCCCCCTTTTTTAAAAAAATGCTTTATTTCTGAGAGAGAGAGACAGCGTGAGTAGGGGAAGATCAGAGAGAGGGGGAGATACAGAATCTAAAACAGGCTCCAGGCTCTGTGCTAGCTGTCAGCACAGAGCCCGACGTGGGCGCTCAAACCCACGAACCATGAGATCATGACCTGTGTCAAGTCAGGCGCTCCAACTGAGCCAGCCAGGTGCCTCAACCCTTTTGTTTTCTAAATCATTTATGGTTCTACTCTTTGTCATTAGTTTGTAAAAAAAAAAAAAAGATAAAAGCAATTTTTCAATAGGGCCTAAGAGGGGAAAGAAATTAGATGAATGTATCATTATATATTATCATAAGTTCAGAGTAAGTATGTTTGAACGGTGGTTTCATTTTTCCCCTGCCATCCAAGAGAAGGTTATGACGCGCAGCACTTTACCCTATGGCAGACCCAGAGTTCTCCAGAGGGACAGCACCATTTGCCTTCTTTACCAGCACCAGTTTGTGAGTGCTTACAGCCGTGACATCCTGATGCCCCGTTGGACATCCTACACTGTTGACAGAAATGCAAGTATTTGGTCGCCTCATTAGCTACATGTGATTATTTCAAAATAACTAAGGAAAACATTGGAAGCATGGTTAATTTGGGCCAACTAATCTTAGCCTTATAATGAGTCCCTAAACGAGGAGGTCACTGAGTTGGGAATCTGAGGAATTAAGTGCTGGTTATAGCTCTGCCACTGACTAGCTCTGTGACTTTGAGACAAATTACTTTTTTTTTGAGTGCAAATTTCTTCTGTGAAATGAGGAATGTGCATGACCATGCCCCCCTTGCTTTGTGTTTTGTTTTCATATTTGATTCTGATTTCTCACTTTATGTGATCAATTTTGCAATCAGTCACAATTATTCATCTCTAAAGGCCTAGTTATGTGAGTACAAGGATTTTCCTTGGCCCTGCTCACCTTAGGGGGTCCTCACTGCTAAAGCTCGGTCACTTCTCTGTGTGTAACACCTACAAGAAGATCCCCAAATCAAACTATGGGGAGCCTGTCCACCTCCCAGACCACAGGAAACCCTTGAAAAGAGTGAGGGGGAGAGCTTATGTAGAATATCTCAGGATTAGACCAACATTCCCCCTCACCTCTGCCCTCTGGCTACTGTGGTAGAAAGAGAAGCAGAAGAGAGGTCTTGAAAGAGAGAATGGGAAAGGGGATGAGATTTAGATTTTGATCAAATTAAAGTTTTGAACCAGACTGACCAGATTTTCCAAAACTGAATGCCTGGCAAGCTACAGGATGCCCTTAAGGGATGGAAAGGGGATTTGAGAGAGCTTAGCTGAGTGTAGCAGTTGCTTTGAAAAAATACGACTATGGTTAATACTCACCGAGAAAGCTAAACAAAAAAGATAGGGATATATGTGTGTATATATGTAATTTCTCTGTTAAAAAAAACATCGTTTTTCACATAATTTATGTAAAATTTCAGCCTTAAGTTTGTTCTAATTTTGAAGACTGTCTTCAAACATTACAAACACATTTTCTACTTGACTTTGTAATGTATAGGAGTCTACCTAGTACTTTGTAGGTCCTGGTCAGATTTATTGTTTAATGCCTTAATTATGGCATTCTTTGATTTGGTTTGAATGTTCTGTTTCATAGTATAATCAGAGCAGGATAAATTCAGTCATCACTGCACCTAAGGTTTTCATGCTGCATTGTTAATTCAGTGGCTCCCTAAAGCCCTAGCTTTCAAGTCTGTGTAGTTGCATTTGGAAGATAGGCCCAGGTCCTCCTAAAATCGGCCTTTCTGCCATGTGAAAGTTGGAAACCTGTAAGCAAAATGAGCCCAGCATAATAGGACAATATTAGCACATATGGCAAATGATTAATATCCTTAATATTACAGAGTTTATGCCTTTCAGTTAGGAAAAAGTTGACTACACTGCTAGAAAAAGGAGAAAATGGAGTGGGACCTAAAGGGATAACTAGGGCCCCACAACCGTAGGGTGCGGTTCACCCTCAACTCTTCATAAAGCAGTCTTCTTTTCTTTCATGTGCCTGATACCTGATGGCTCTTTTCATTTTGGTTTTTAGGACAGTTTCTCTACAGAAGGCTTTTCCAACTGTCTCCATGAGGATCTCCGAATTCCCTTCAGTCCTATCCATAAGTGTTCATTTTATAAAGATAACGCTGAACTAAGTTACGGGTTCCTCTGCCCACCTCGTAAGTGTCTGTCCCCCTGACCTGCCCTTTCCCTTGTCTTCTTTCTTCTTTTCTCTCTTTTGGGGCAGTGGACACCCATCTTTTTGTTGACTGTTGCGAATGAGAAGTATAACTAACTATTAGGGGAAAGGTTTTAAAGCATCTAAAAGTTGAATTTCCCAAAACCTTGGGCTTTTGTTTGGAGGATAGTTGATTTAGTGCTGGCACTGTAGACAAGACATTCTTCGTTTTTTTCTACATTTATTTTACACATTTCTCAAAGCACACAGATTCTGAGGAAACTTGAGTTAGAAGGAAACATCAGGGGTCTTCAGAGGGAGATATCTTTTTGTTCCTTAAAAAGAAAAACAAGTTGTCAAAGAATTAGGAATAGGCAGAGCCTATGTGTGCTTGCCCTTTCATGGAGACAGGGCCTCTGGGGGAATTTTTGTCTTTTGTCTTTTTTTGGGGGGGGGGTGTGGGGGTTACATGGTCTATTTTTGATGTGGTAGATTTGTGTGTTAAAAGACATTTTGAGGCTGGCCTTAAAAGGCAACAATCAGAAGTCTCCAGGTGCTTAAATACTTTCAGTATCCAGTCAAGTCCCCTGCGTCAGTGTCTGAAGTCAGAACTTGGCTATTGCTTTATAAAAATAGACCAGTTCCAAGCTGAAAGTCCATACAAAGGAGTGCTGTGCAGCATTTCATCACAAGAGGCAGAAATCAGGATAGTAAGTGTTCTGAGGCCAGATATTTTCTTTTTCCCTTTCACTGTAAAAGAGTTTAAGGAAAGAGGGCTGTCCACATAATACGTTATAGTTGAATTAAGGCAAATAAGGTAAAATTTGAATATGTTGAATTTGGGGCTCTTATTAAGCTTTTTTTTTTCTTTGCTGAATTCATCTTGAGGAAGAAAATACACAACTATTTTACTTTTTTAACGGGATTTGACCACATTGCACTTTCCCTTGACCCAGTACTTGGGAAAGTTTTGTGGGTTCAAGGTGATAGCTAATTTTTCAAATGTCACCCCCATGAAAAAGTATGATTTCTAATGCTATTCATGATGAATGAAATAGTTGTCTTTTTATTTTCTTTGTAGAACTAAAAAAAGGTTCAAGCCAACTACATTCTGAAGCATTGCTTAATACTAACATGGTGCCAATGTACCCGAGTTTTCAAGGTAAAAAAGTTTTAACCGTATATCTCATAATTTCAAAGAATTTCTGTATATTATAGGTATACTTTACATTAATAAGGCTGACCCTCTAAATGACTATCTGAGAAGTTTTTATCGGTTTAACTTTGACAACACCAGTACACAAAAATTCACAACTATTAGAATCATGATATATTCCAATATCGTTTATTCCACTTTGTATTTAAATCTCTATAAATGACATTTTTTGGTGGAAAAAGTATGTAATCTTCTAAGTTATCCAGCTAATATAATCTATTAAACTTACATGATCCTTCAGTATGTTTCCCTATTTAACTTTTGGAACTTGTTGATAATTGTTTTTGATCTTAAAATGTATAGATTTTATGTCATTATTAATTATTGCAGCATTTGGCTCTTAAAAGGATAAATATAAATCTATATTTCTTTTTTTTCTTTTAATATTTTTATTTATTTCTAGGAGAGAGAGAGAGAGAGACAGCGTGAGCAGGGGAGGGTCAGAGAGAGAGGGAGACACAGACTCTGAAATAGGCTCCAGGCTCTGAGCTGGCAGTCAGCACAGAGCCCGACGCGGGGCTCGAACCCATGAACCGCGAGATCATGACCTAAGCGAAAGTCGGACGCTTAACCGACTAAGCCACTCAGGCGCCCCTATAAATCCATATTTCATGTCACATGTAGGATTTCAAAACAACATATAAGAGATTTTTACTCTAATTTACATTAGAATACTTGTGAGTATTTCAAAGGGGATATTCAGATATTAACAATAGATCTGAATGACCTGCCTTGTTTATTTATGTTCATGTTTTTTTCTGCTTTATGGTGATCTGTGAGCACAGGTTCATGGTGATGCACATGGTCTGTGATGTCCAAAATAGTCTTGAATTCAGCATTTGTCCATTAGTTCTGCCAAAGGCCGAAGTTGAACAGTGGAGTTTTGGCCCCACACCAACACTGAAGCCAAATTTGACTTTGTCTCTAATTATTACAGATGCTGATTCTGAATGAGTTTGTTGAGTTTTTTTTTTTAATCACGACAGCCTGGCATCTGAAACTCCCGTCTTCCTTCTTGTTTCAGTGATATGGCACTACTTTCACGGCACCCTACTGCCAAGGTATGCAGAAGAAAGAAACGGTGTCAACGTTGTCAGTGGCCCTGTGTTTGACTCTGATTATGATGGACGTTATGATTCCTCAGAGATCCTGAAGCAGTAAGAACATATTTCATTTCCTCTTAAAAACAGCCGTCAAGTAGGATTACCGTCCAGTTGAGTCAGCGGGACCTTTTCTGTCTGATAGTATTTATATTGATGTACATGACATTTCTGATTACACTGAAAGCCCCTTGAGATATGTGATTAAGTTTGATGTTTTGCTCAGTGTGCAATAAAATGTTTTTTAGAGGAAAGAAGGAGCGTTTCTCTCCCATGCAGTTAAGTATTTCTTGAGCAAGAAGGTAATATCCATGTTTAAAGTCTCTATGTGTGGCTAATTGTTAAGATACTGTTTTAATTAACATAGTGCTGGTTAGGGAATAAGCATGTGCTGTGGCTAGAGGCATCCTGAGTCAAAGAACCCGCAAGGTTATAACGCTGTAGTGGCCAAGCACAGGCCTTGTGAATGTCATAGCTTTTACCCAACTTTGTTTAGAGGGAGATGGAGTGACCATCTTGAGAAAAACCAACAGTGGTTGCCCTTTTTATAAAGGAGAGAGAGAACATTTTAGATGGCACTTGATGTTTCTTAAAAACATGATTTTTGGAAGCAATTTTGCTGTTAATCCTCCAGGATAAAGAAATTTGAGACGTGTGCTGAGGTTCACTCCCCGAGAACTGTTCTTCAGGCAAGCCTAGAGATTACTCTTCACACACATATATCTGTAACAATGTAGTTTGTAAAATGACAGTTGTTTTTGTATTTTGTTTCATTTTCTTTTACCAAATCCCTTGAGGAATAAGGGTCCCAACGTCCCTGCCTCAGAGGTCACAGCAGTAGAATGGGTAAAGAAGAGAACTCTACACTTTGTGCATTCTACCAGAGGTCTCTGTTTTAATCAGTCTTCTGAATATATGGTTCCACATAAGATTATAGTTGAAAACAATGTGCCCACTACGTTAACTTTTTAAAGATGTTGAAACACAAACCTAGCTTTGAACCCCAAGGAAATAGAATTAAGATGAGGTTAAGGTGTTGCTGTGCTACAATTTTAAAGAAGTGAGTGGGATTGGAAAGAAAATGCCTTTAAAACAAAGAAGAGTTCACAGACAAATGACTTCTGGATGGGCTGGAGCAGAAAAAGTCTAGTTTCCTTTCTGTCTACTATTTGTGCACAGTTGCATAGTGTTGAAAAGACTATCAATAATGCTTTAGAATTTTGGTTGTAGGTATTTGAGAATGATATTGTTTTTTTCTTTAGCTTCTCCATACTAATGTTAGGTGTAACTAAAGATAATCTGAAGTTCAATCAATTGTTATGTAAACTAAAAATCATTTAGTGTATGTTTTTCTGAGTGTCTTCTAATTCGCTCAATCTGGCAGGATGTATTGAGGTATCACTATTACTAACTTCATACTAACATTTAATTATTTGAATTATATTTTTACATGCATTATATAAAAATATACTTTCCTGCAATATTCATTAAAAATAGTTATTTCTTTCTTAAACTGAACATTGCCCTATTTTACAGAAACCACAGACGCATCCGTAATCAAGAAATTCTGATCCCAACTCACTTCTTCATTGTGCTAACAAGTTGTAAAAACACATTCCAGACTCCCTCACACTGTGAAGATTTAGACACCTTAGCTTTCATTTTGCCTCACAGGACTGACAACAGTGAGAGCTGTGTGGTAAGTAGCCTTTGGTTGGGTACCTGACACGCTGAAAATATGGATATAAGTATATTGGTGTGTCATGTCCAACATTACTCTGGGCAAAAACAGAACTTGAATATGCATATACTTTGAACGGATGCACTTGATATGAATTTTGTAGAATGGTTTTAAATCTGACTCTGTGAGGGAAAACAGACCCTTTTCTGTTATAAACACAAACCAGGGACACCTGGGTGGCTCCATCAGTTGAGTGTCTGACTTCGGCTCAGGTCATGATCTCCCAGTTTGTGAGATCCGAGCCCCATGTTGGGCTCTCTGTTGTCCTCACAGAGCCTGCTTGAGATCTCCTGTCCCTCTCTTTCTTTGCCCATCCCACACTCTTGTGTACATGTGTGCTTCTGCTCTCTCAAAACACACACACACACACACACACACACACAAGAGATCAAAACTTAGTGCCTTCATATGGCATATGAAGCGTTCCTGATTCTAGGTTTATTTGAACTTTGAATTTACTCGTTTCCAAACTGGATTTATAATTCCCAGAGTGTCAAGTTATAAATTAGTCCTGAAGATATAGTTAGGTAGTATTTCAGATCAATTTTCTATATATCACTTTATTATAAAAGCCATGTTTGTCCTTAATTATCTTTTCTTATTCTGTGGTCATTCAGTGTCTAAAAATAATTGTTTTATGTTACCTGATTTGCTCAGAATTTTCAAAACCTACATTAATCTTTGAACATCAAGACTCCAGTAAAATTTTAGGAATTTTAAAGCTTTTCCTTATGGTGAGACAATTTTTTTTCTTTCAGAATACTTACCAGATTTCCAAGTAGATTATTTTCCACCTTTTTTTTTTTTTTGGGGGGGGTCCGTCGAAGTTACATACTTCTAAGTTAATAAAGATACGTCTTTCTTACCATCCTCATTTGAATGGGTGGTGGATACCTGGAGTCATGTGGTCAAAAGGAGGATTCTGAGCTCAGCAGGAGAGAGTCCTGTGATTGGTCATTCATTCCTCCCTTTATTTATTCATTTTTCCCTTCTTGGATTCAGACATTCATTCCTTTAATAAATAGGTGTTGCCAGGTACTCTTAGGACAGAGAACACGGCAGTGAACAAAACAGATGGTGCTTTCTGCTGTGGGCCCAGGAGTGGGGTATAGGGATGTGTTGCCTTCCTTGTTACAGCAGTCTATGTATCATTCAGGTAGACAGTCTTGGTCAGCAGCACCAGTGGGGACCCAGACCTTTCCTTTGCTGACATTCTTAGCATGTGGCATATGTGGGCTAAAAATGGTCTCTATCATGTCTGAATTCTGGGCCCTCCCCGCCAAAAGAAGGCAGTAACCGACTTATGCTTACATCTCATGAACAAAATATTAGGTGTCATGAGTTAGGCACCGAGTTCTTTTTCAATCTCTATCATTCCAAAAGCTATTATACAAACATTTTACCAAATTCTATAATAGCAATGTGCCTTGAAAACACTATTGGACTTGAACTAGAGAGAGGATTATTTGAAGGTGTATCATGCATACTTACTGATTCCTTCGGTTTCACTAAGGATCAACAGGATATTGCCTGAGAAAACACATGTCTTGCATGTACTTTTTATCTATTCCTCTGTATGTTGGGACAGATGGAAAATATCTACTGGCCAAGGAATCCACTGAGTCAAGACTATTCCTCTGAGGGCCAGACTCAAGATTGCTGCAGAGAAAGTCAGTGGGGCCGTAATTAGTATAGGTATAGTGATGATTGGTTTTTATAGTTTATTTTTGAGACAGAGACAGCATGAGTCAGGGAGGGGCAGAGAGAGAGGGAGACATAGAATCTGAAACAGGCTCCAGGCTCTGAGCTGTCAGCACAGGGCCCGTCGCAGGGCTTCAATCCCACAAACTGTGAGATCATGACCTGAGCCAAAGTGACGCTTAACCAACTGAGCCACCCAGGCGCCCCAAGGTTGTCTTTAAAGTACAATCATAGAGGCTCAGTCAGCTAAGTGTCTGACTCTTGATTTCTGCTCAGATCATGATGTCATGGTTGGTGAGTTTCAGCCCCACATCAGACTCTATGCTGACAGTGTGGAGTGCTTGGGATCCTCTGTCTCCTCTTCTCTCTCGCTCGCTCGCTCTCGCTCTCTCTCTCTCTCTCTCTCTCTCTCTCTCTCTCTCTCAAAGATAAAAAACAAAAAGTACAATTATAGCCCACCAACCAGTGGATGCTTTCTTCACCTGACCCTCTCCAGTAGCCAGATGCAGGAAAATGATAATTACACATGAATGTATGATTTCTGTCTGTTACCTGCCTCAGCTACCCCTTCTGTTTCCATGTGCCAGGGGACATACCTTTATTTCTTGTCTGATCTCATGTTGGCTGACACTTCACTGTCACACCAGAAATGAAATTGCGTTTTACCACTTCCCCCAGTGCTCTCTTCCTTGCAACTACGTAGATAACGGATTCTGATAAGAGCTGGTAGTTTTATACTGTGTTTGCACACATCATGACATTTGATCCTCAAAGCAAAACTATGAGGGTGCAGGTAAGAGAATCAGGATTCAGATGTGAACCAACTTGCCTTAGTTTACGTGGTATGAAAATGATAGAACCAGGACTTGAATCCAAGTTTCTTTCTGCTAATTCCCGTATTCTTTCTGCCATGCCACGTTGCTTCTGTTTTCCAACATTTTTTTTAACCTCACACTGTTCATGTTTCATGCAGAAATGCAATAGATGAGCATCTATTCCAGGTGTACTTTCCTTTCCCCAAATTTGAGACATATAATTAAACAAACATGCATTCTATATATTAGATGCTAAGCTACTCCAGAGCAGGGATTATGTCTAACATATCTTGTGACATCTGCCATTTGGGACCCAAAGTGTCATTGCTGATTGAAATGGGAAGGGGAAGACAAAGTGCTTAAAGGGAAAGTGAAGGGACTATTCTCCAATGACCTTTTATTTTAATTTCCCACCTTCACAGCATGAGAAGCAGGACTCCTCATGGGTTGAAGAGTTGTTGAAGCTACACAGAGCTCGGATCGTAGATGTCGAACTCCTCACTGGACTCAGCTTCTATCAAGAAAGAAAAGAGCCAATTTCAGAAATTTTGAAGTTGAAAACACAGTTGCCAACTTTTAACCAAGAAGACTGATATTTTTTACTCCAAGAACACATCATAAATGGTTTTCAAAGAACCTGCTGTTTTATACAGTCCTCTCTCCGCGCTGTCGCATTATTTTGAAACTGTCGACCAGAGTTAGAGCTGAGAATCCTCTGCGATACGACCATCTCAGGGAACCCTGTGGCCTCAGCCTGGCAGTAGGAAAATGCTCTTCTCGAGTCTCGCACATGTTTGAATGTGTAAGAATTGTTCCAATTTGGGGAAGAAAGACGAAAGACAGGCTGTACCTAAAACTGCTCTTCTATTCTCTTAAGGGCAGAAGTAGCTGTGAAAGTTGTCTGGACACCAGATATTTGAACCTTATTTTCATTAATAAACTTTTTGGAACTGGCAAACACGGCACTAATGGATAGGATTGGAATAATCTGTGTTACATCATCAGATCAGTATTTTTACAAGAATTTAAAAGTGATTCTGGATTATTTTTAACTTGGATTTTAGTTTTAACCAAAAAAATTAGTGGAAGCAAAAATATCTGCAAGGCCCTCTTTCTGTCTTTTTTGTGTACCCTTTCAAAAGCCAAAGTATGTAATCCTGTGGGTTTATTTTTTAAATTGTGATTTGCTAATTTCAGATTTAATGTCTTTAACAAGTTAAATTCTGAGGCAACATCTGTGAATTGAGTAGTGAGTGTATCTACCTGGTATAAAATTTTACCCTACATTTGTATAAAGAAAAGAAAGATATTCCCATCTTGCTCACTGGTAATTAACATAGGTCGAAAATATCTCTAAATGCGGGTTTTTTTGACTGTTAAAAAAATGTCTTGATGAAACTTGTCAACCTGTGCAAAGTGGCATTTTTCATTTTTCATCACGATGGTAAGAACATTCCTCTATGCATAAAAATGACCCCACCAGCAACAGAATTAATGCTGATTTGTTCATTTTGAGGTTCCATAGATTTGAAGAGCATGTGTAGCCATTGCTTTACAACTTCTTGGTGGTCATGATAAATAAACTTGATCCACTCTATAGACTATACTTGTCAGTTCCAGCCTGTGGACCTTCAATGGCTACTTTCATTTGGCTACCTGGGTTTGATTTACCTGGGTTTTTATTACTATACCCAAAAATGAAAGTTTTTATTTGCCTTTCATATGATGATCATTTTTCAACAGACTATGGGCCACAAAATCCTTTAGATAATACAATTTGTATCCAAAAAATATTTAATAATTTAGAAAATTTCATTGGTGTTTTAGTCCCATTGGCCTTGAGGGTTTATACATTGTATTGTTTATTTTCCCAGTCTGTCTTCTCTGTTCAGTTTGAGTCATTTCTATTGTTCTGTCTTTAAGTTCACTGATAATTTTCTCTTTTTAATCCATTTTGTTGTTGAGCCCATCCATTGATTTTTGTATTTCAGTTATTGTTTTCATTTTTTTTTTTAACTTTCCATTTGGTTCTTTTTATTTCTTTTCTGAGAATTATTTTTATTTTGGCTCATTATTTCTAATTTCTCACTTATTACATTACATGCATATTTTGTAAGTATTCACAGAAGCATTTCTGTGATGGCTGCTGTAAAATTCTTTCAAATAATCCCAGCATCTGTATCATCTCAGATCTTGGCATCATTTGTCTTTTTTCATTGATAAAGATTGTCCTTGTTCTTGGTATGATGAATGCTTTTCGATGGAAACCTGAATATTTTAGGTGTTATGTGGCTATGGATCTTATTTAAACCTTCTGTTTTAGCAGATTTTCTCTGACATCAGCCTCGTGAGGAAATAGGGGCCCGTGGGGGTAAGGAGGGCACTGTCTAGTTATTTTCAGGTGTGTCTAGGAGTCCAGGTTTTCCATTCAGCTTTCATTGACACTTGGGGTGAGACGGAACCCTTGTCGCTGCTGGCAGGTGGGGAATTCAGTTCCCCACTGGACCACCATTGATGCCTCCCTGGTCAGGATGGGTAGGTACCTTGTCACTGCTCTCATGTGGTGTCCGCTGATACTGTTGGCCGGAAAGCTGGAAAGGGTTTATTATGACCATACCAGGGTGAAATGACCAGTGTCCTACTCAGCCTTCTCAGACTCTCAGACATCACCTTGTCAGGAGAGTGAGGGCACTTAACACTGTTAAGAGTGGAAGTCTAGGCTCCCCACTAGGCTCCCCACACGGCCTTCGCTGGCGTGGGTGAGGCTATGGCATTTCCTGTGGGGTGCGGTTTGCTAGAGTGGAACAATTGTTCTCTCTCTTGCTTGGCTACTTGTAGAGAGCAGGCCTGTCTTAGGACTTCTTTTTATGTGCCCTGGTGGCATTTACAGGTTGTGACTTCTTCAGTTCCAAGTCTGGGACCTTTGACCTACAAAAGCAAACTCAGGAACTTGGCACAGTTTTGTTCCTTGGGTTCCAAGGTCCCTAGGGTACCTGCCTTCTCTCCACCTTTCAGAACCTTCCTATTTTTGTTGCATATATAATATCCAAGCTTTTTATCTGCACTTAGCAGAAGGATATATACTTCTTTATAAAAATGTCTCGTTGGTTTTTATTTCTTCAAAAACATGCAGACACATAATCGCCTCTATGTAAAGCCTTTTAGCAGATACTAATTAAATGGGTAGGTGTCTCTTGCCTTTGCCAGTTGGCAGGACTACAGAGAAATCCTTACAGTTTGGAGGAAGGAGAGGAGAGCATATGATTCCTAAGAGGGGGTAGATGTTTTAATGGGGCCGGGTACTAGGGAGGACAAAGGAGACACTGGGTGGGGCTTGACTGGTCTCAGCAGTAACTTCCTAGCGGTGGTGGCATTTGGACTAGAACTTGAAGGATGAATTGGAGCTCTTCAGGTAACCTGGCAAAGAAAGGGCATTTTGACGTCCCTTGGATAGATCTGTTTTCAGCATTTTCCCACTTACTGCTACATTTAATATTTTCTACATGCATCGCTATGACCAACTTATGATACACAACCTTTTCCTACAGTGTTATTTTAATCTCCTTAAATGTCAAACCATAAATGAAAGCTGTGCTGACTCTTTAAATAAAGGGCATCCACATCTGTTCCTACTTAGCTTTTTTTTTCAGTTGCTCTTAACAGTCTTCTTTTTCTTTCTTCTTACTATTTAATTGAAAACATGTGACTAGCCTACTCCCCCAATTTGAATGGTAAATTCACATGACTATCTTTGAAAATGTCTTTACCCTACTATGTACAATGAAGGCTATTCTTTGCTTTTCACATGCGAAGCAAAACCTTTATTCATCCCTAATTTTACTGCCAGGCCTCTGATCAGTACTTCTTAAACGAGGTAGGGACCTTCCATATAAGTTTTCAAAGCTAAGTTGGCTCATTCATGGTAGAGCCAACCACCAGGTGGGACTTAAAAATGTTTCCAGGTTTCAGAGAAAAGACGGCAAACCTTAGGGAGAAGAAGGCAAATGTTCAGGTCCCAAGAAGGCAGATCAATGTGGAGGACTGTTAGACTCTGTCCAGTTCTGTCTTAGATGAGATTGGAGCTAAAACCACTGACTTACCCAGGAGAGGCTTCACCCCCCCCCTTACTTTTTCTGTCATTAGCTACAGTAGCTGTCCTGCCTTGCCCTGTGGGTACGTGCTTATCTGTAATACGAACAGACATTTGAACTTTGAAACCAAATGTGGTGATTACACTTAATGCTGAAACCTATCACAGGAATTTGGTATATGGGTGCTTTCGTAACCATTAAGTAAAATTTTAACATGGTTACAGTCCAAGGACTTTCCTTGTATTTTGGCAGTCTCAGTATTGTAAGGGGAGATTCAACAGAGTATAAGTCTCTAAGAAATGTGGATTTACCAATAAAAGTTGTATATACAGAAGCTTGGCTGCTTAAGTCTGTGTGGATGTGGGTCTGGGTGTGTGCACGTGCTTGGAGGGTGGGGACAGGGAATGGGAGGTGGTGTTTTCCCAGGGATGATACCGAGTGCAGGGGTTGCAGACAATTAGCCACAACTGTATTATTGGAAGGAGAAAAAAAGCTCCAAAGTTCATTTCAAATTCACAGTAAACACCAGCTTCTGACCTATATTCTTGTTTTTGTATTTTAATTACTTGCAATCATACTTCCAGGGAAAACCAAAAGGCAAGCACTTCTCAATTTCCAGTATTTAGAATTGTCTGAAACCAGAGGGAAAGCATTCAAATTGTAATTTCAACAGATTTTTTTTCAACCTGGAATTTCTGAACTTCTCCTTTCCATTGTACATAAACAGCAATTGCAGGAAAAATAAAGATTTTAATGGAAAATATAGCCATGGCAGAAACTAGAGATACATGAAGTGTGTCTGCTAGAAATGAACAGGATTTATCTTCGTAAGAAGTCAAAAGGAAGCAACAGAAAAGATGCACCTTTCATTCCACCCCAGTGTCATTTTTTTAATGTTTATTTTTATTTTTGAGAGTCTGAGTGAGGGGCAGAGAGAGAGAGAGAAACCCAAGCAGGTTCCATGTTGTCAGCGCTGACCCTTACATGGGGCTCCAGTCCGTGAACCAGGAGATCATGATGAGCTGAAATCAAGAGTCCGGACACTTAACAGACACAGGCACCCAGGTGCCCCCACAACATCATTATAAATTTCACCTCATACTTGCCCATAAATCTTCAACTCAGGGGCAGGATTTTAACAATAACACATTCGCTCTTAAAAACTCTTGTAGGATTTTGGGACACCTGGGTGTCTCAGCCCAGTGTCTGACTTTGGCTCAGGTCATGATCTTGTGCTTCGTGAGTCTGGGCTTCGTGTCAGGGTCTGTGCTCCGAGCTCAGGAGCCTGCCTTATGTTCTGTGTCTCCCGCTCTCTCTGCCCCTCCCCTGCTTATTCTCTCTTTCAAAGATAAAAGACATTAAAAATAAAGGTAGTAAGTCTTTTTTTTATGTTTGTTTTTTTTTTTTGTAGGAGAGAGAGAGAGAGAGACAGCATGAGCAGGGGAGGGTCAGAGAGAGAGGGAGTCACAGACTGAAACAGGCTCCAGGCTCTGAGCTAGCAGTCTGCACAGAGCCCGACGGCAGGGCTCGAACCCACGAACCGCGAGATCATGACCTAAGTGAAAGTCGGACGCTTAACCGACTAAGCCACCCAGGTGCCCCAGGTAGTAAGTCTTTAAGCTTGTAGGATTTCATTGCTTGTCAAATTCAGATCTCAGAATTAGGATAGACTTCATCTTTCACAGAACAGAGATACAAAGGAATACAATAAATATCCAGGAAATGAGATTTTTATATCTCTCGATTATTTTGCCCTAGGACATCCAGGTAATCTCTTACTATCAACATGTTTCATGGCTACACCTAGATAACATTGTGCTGAGTATAATATAAAGACAGTGAAACAAAGATCTCAGGACTGAAAGTTCATAAGTTAATAGAGACTGGAGAGGATTTTTAAAAAGACCAAAATTTTCTCAGTTCGATGAATATATCTCATTGCTCGAATTTTTACCACTTGAAAGATCTCAGATAAAACCTATAATTTTGAATCTTCCATCATAACCTATTCTAGACCTTGACACAATTTCACTGTTTTCAAGAGTTGCTCACTTTTTAAAAAAAAAATTTTTTTTAATGTTTTATTTATTTCTAGGAGAGAGAGAGAGACAGCGTGAACAGGGGAGAGTCAGAGAGAGAGGGAGTCACAGACTGAAGCAGGCTCCAGGCTCTGAGCCGGCAGTCAGCACAGAGCCCGACGCGGGGCTCGAACCCACGAACCACGAGATCATGACCTAAGCGAAAGTCGGACGCTTAACCGACTAAGCCACCCAGGCACCCTGAAGAGTTGCTCACTTTTATGAAGGTCCAAACAGTGGTTCATCTGTGAGGCCTTGGTTTGTGTACTTGTGTGTTTCTAAGATCCCATGTCTGTTTAACTCAATAGGACACTTTAACACATTCAACTAGATTAGATTCAACTAAATCAAGACTGACAACAGATTTCGAAGCTGTGTTTACTCTATGTCAAGGAAATAGACATTAGGGCTAAATCCAGGGAACAGGACAGATGGGATACCTCCCCTTGGGGCTTACTCAGCAATAGTTCACCTTGATTTCAAGATCTAGCCCAAGGCCTATATCCTTTTGACACCAATCTTCTCTGTACCCTCTGTGGCATGGTCATGTGATCAGTGGTCAGACCCTCCCAAGACATTGCAGGTGACAGAGCACAGGCCCTCAGTTGAGTCATTGTTGTGTTGTTGCAACCAACTGGTGTGTGATGCATCTTACGGCCCTATAGTCTGTATACAATGTCGTTAGCTGGCATTGCACCCTACTAATAAGTTGTACTCAGCCCTTGATTCTAGATCCAAAGGCATTGCTTGCTACTGGTAGTCTGCAACCATAAAAGGAAATAATTTCAGGGTGGTGTGATTATTGGTATATGA